CTGAAAATACAAAAATACATACTTGAGGTTACGAAATAATAACTTAAGGCAGAACATGGAACACGTGACGTTAATAAAAAATAATCTTTCCAACTGTTGAAAATACACTTCAGGTTGATTTATAACAACCAGAAGTGTAAAATGGCACACCTTAGGTTGAAAAATATATGGGTCATTCTCACGAAAACTGTCATTTTTCAGTTCATAAAATCCCAAAAAAGTAAAGTGAATAAAAAGCTCTGAAACTTTTTATATTAATAAAAATATGTAATGACATTATTAAGAAAGTATATATCCTATAAATTATTCTTAATATTTAAATTAATTAATTTTTAAATAATTAATTTATAATTAATTAATTAGTTTAATAAATTAATTAATTTAATAAATAAATTAATTTAATAAAGTAATTTATTAATTTTTTAATTTCTTTTTCAAATTAATTAATAAGTAAATTAATTATTTTCACTATTTAAAAAGTGAGGGAATGACACTAATAGTGAGGGAATGATATTTTATTTTAATACATGTTTTTATCTAAGTTACATCTACCTAAAGTTTGAAAATGATAACATACTAAGTATATCTAATATTTATTATAATTTAGTCTTATATATTTAATAGTTTTTACAGGTTTGGGAAATAAAATTGGCTGGCACGATTGAACAAAAAAAAATTTAATAATATACTCATCTTGAATCATTCCCTCACTTCAGCGTCATTCCCTCACTTTATACACTAGTGAGGGAATGACGAATTCAATAAAATTTAAAAATAACAGTTAGGCCTAATTAATTTCTGAAGTCAATCACATACAATTATATTCATACAAGAAAGCAACATATAATTATCCACTTTCTCGATGAAGTTGTATTTTATTTTACTCTAAAAAATGACATGAGGGAATGACAAATGTAAAAAATTTTACCTGGTTTGATTCATTCAAATTTATTCCACAGCAAAGCTTCTTTAAGTTGAAGATGGAAACATACTGCAATTTTGTTCTATGATGCCAGTTGTTAACTTCTGAAGTTTTTATTAAAATATTTTTATTCTAAGAAGATTGCAGGTGATAAGAACATTGTTGTGAGGGAATGACGCGAAACACTGGGGACAAAGTTTAAAATAGTGCTGTGTTAATATTTTTATCAGAAATTAAATTTAAAATTGATTTTCTGAATTCTATATTTCAGTATTCTGAAATAAAAAACACGAATTTGTAAAAAAAAAAAATTTATTTCAGAAACAATTTTTTTCTTTTTTTAAATCAGCAGTGGGGACAAGTGAGGGAATGACATATTGGTATATTTTAATTACCTAAAATAAATAAAAAATTAAAATTGACAATTTCATTTTTGTTCTTTTGTTAGCTTACATTCTGAAGGACACTTTCCCTGAATTTTTTTTTCTTCGTAAGCTGTAAAACAAACATAAAATATACTGGGGACATGAAAATGACTGTTTTTGTGAGAATGACCCATATATACCTCTACATACATAAATTAAGATATCTGAGGTTGAAAAATAATTACCTGAGGTAGAACAAAATACACCTGAGGTTGATTCATAGTGACCTGAAGTGTAAAATGACTCATCATAGGTTGAAAAATATATACCTCTACAAGCATAAAATTATATACCTGAGGTTGAAAAATAATTACCTGAGGTAGAACAAAATACACCTAAGGTTGATTTATAATAACCTGAATTGTAAAATGATACACCATAGGTTGAAAATTATAAACCTCTACAAGCATAAAATTATATACCTGAGGTTGAAAAATATATACCTCTACAAGCATGTTATTTGATACCTGAGGTTGAAACATATATACCTGTGAAGGTATATTTGATTTCGAGGTATTCATTTGCACCCTTTTCAACCTAACGACGTATTTAAATAACAACCTCCTTTATACCTTTAAAATATACCTCGTTTATACCTCAATTTTTTCATAAGGATATTGAAACCTGTATGAAATTGTTTACAATTGTACGAAGATTAAGGCAACTTTCTATACTATACTATATAACGGCCTTTGTTAATGTTGATATACCGAACATCACTTCGTGCGTAATTCCTCCCTGAAAGTTGAAAAAAGGATAGAACACAGATCACTGGACTACTTCAGGGCTCATGGCGTTTAATTTGAATGACCAACCGCGTTTAATTGAAATTAAACTCTAAAATAGAATTTCAAAATACTATATAACTAAATTTATTTACTTACTTATATATTTCTTTCTTTGCAGTACATAGCTTATTTTACTAAAATATCAAATATATAAAAATTTAAATTATGAGTTACAGTTATTTGTTGGCTACGAGCATTTTTTTTTAATATTGCAATGCAGAATATTTTCAATCGTCTTCCGATCGCTAGAAACCGAATGAAAATTTTGATCACTTTTCTATTACCTAATGTTTTGAAATTCAAAGTGAAGTTTTGCGCTGGTTATTTCACGTTTCAATTTTCTGACAATTACTAACAGAACTTATCACCAGTGAGATATCATCAATCGAAATTTTGACCATTGCTTGAAGAGCTAAAATGCTTAACATTAACCAAGAGATATGCGCTGGAAGTGCTTCAATCATTTTTTTTATTGTAATGTCATAATCCTAGCGAGATTATCCTCGTCAATACACATTTTAATCGCTTTCTGATAAGCTAGTGTGCTCAAATGTCATTTGGAGTTTTGTGCCTAATGTCAATACACTTTCTTTTTTTTCCTTTTTTTTATTCTTTAAAATGAAAGGATTTTATTCTTAGAGAACAGTGGTGCACAGGTTCTTTTTTCTTTAAAGTTAAAAAATAATTTTATCTAGCAGAAAAATTATCAAAGTTAAAATAAAAAATGATAGGGATTTAGCATTATTTACATTTCTTCAACAAAAAAAAATCAAGAAAATATTTTGGAAGTTAATAATAAAAAAGAATTTTTTTAAAAAATTTACCTAAATTCCAGATCATATACCATTCATTCCATTCCCTCTAATTGGGATCAACTCATTAAATAAAAACTTTCAAAACAGTTTAGACTTTTACATATAGACAAATATAAATAAACATGAATCAGTATAAATTATGCTGAAGAGTTTTAAGTTGAAAAATAATTAATTAATTTTATACAGAAGAAAAAATTATGAAAGTTAAAATAAGAAATGGTAGGGGCTAAGAATTACTTACATTTCCTCCAAAAAAACAAAAAAAATCAAGGAAATATTTAAGAAGTTAATAATAAAAAATATTTTTTTAAAAATTTTTATTTACCTAAAAACTAAGTTTTTTAAAACTTTTCCAAAAGTTATTGGAAAAAAAGTAGTTTCGACATTTATTTTTTCATTCCTCAATTTTATTTCATTATGCTGAAAGGTGCCCGCGAAAATTTTCAGAAGGGGGAGGAAGCAACTGATATACACAACATATATATTTAAACTATATATATGATATAAACATGAAAGAAAATTTTTTTTTAAAAAATGTATTTCCATCGTCAGAATATCTTCAAATCTATTTTTGAAGTCATCATGCAAGATATTTAAATGCGCACGGGTGGCACTTTGCAAGTCTCGACATGTGGTGTTCACTTGTTGTTGTTGTTAATTTACGTCGCACTAGAGCTGCACAATGGGCTATTGGCGACGGTCTGGGAAACATCCCGGAGGATGATCCGAAGACATGCCATCACAATTTTGATCCTCTGCGGAGGGGATGGCACCCCTGCTTCGGTAGTCCGACGACCTGCGCGCGAAGTCGAGCACTTTACGGTAGCACAGTTTAACGTAACGAGGACCAATACCGCATACCCTCGGTCCCTACTCGGCAGACTGATCCAAGTGGTCACCCACCCGCGCACTGACCGTTGCCAGTGATGCTTGACTTCGGTGATCTGCTGGGAACCGTGTCTTAATGATCAGTCCTCTGCGGGACTGGTGTTCACTTGTACTATTATCTATTGTTCTATTCAATTCTGTGTTTGAACTGAGTCTCGAATATTGTTGAGTACCTAGTGAATGATGCTACCTGCCTATGTTGATAGGTAAATCCAAGCCAAAATTTTTGTTCTTGATTATGAAAACCAGAAAATTTTTCGTGGACTCCCACTTAGAACTTGTGAACCCCTGTTTTCTTTTTACGTCCACGTGGACCCCCGTGTGGTCTCCTATGGACCCCTAGGGGTCCACCTGGACCACTTTGGGAGTCTTTGATATAGACTATTTGTTGTTAATTTACGTCGCACCAGAGCTGCGCAATGGCGACGGTCTGGGAAACATCCCAGAGGATGATCCGAAGACATGCCATCACAATTTTGATCCTCTGCGGAGGGGATGGCACCCCCGCTTCGACAGCCCGATGACCTGCGTGCGAAGTCGAGCACTTTACGGTAGCACAGTTCAGCGAGGACCATTACCGCACACCCTCGGTCCCTACGCACACTGATCCAAGTGGTCACCCACCCGCACACTGACCGTAACCAGTGAGGCTTGACTTCGGTGATCTGCTGGGAACCGTGTCTTAACGATCAGTCCACAGCGGGACAAAAATTACAGTAAAATTANCCTACGCAGACTGATCCAAGTGGTCACGCACCCGCACACTGACCGTAATCAGTGAGGCTTGACTTCGGTGATCTGCTGGGAACCGTGTCTTAACGATCAGTCCACTGCGGGACTTAGACTATTTAAAATGATCAAAATTTTGCGATTTCCCAACGCATGCAGGTTTCTCATTGGTCCTCTTTGTGTAATTTCCATTTATTCGCACGCGCGTGAAGTAATTCAGTAAGAATGGTACTTAATACGACAAAATTACCATCCACACAATTGATATTTCGGTTGACAACAGCATCAAATCATTAATATTTAATCGATATCGAATTTTATGTCATGTGTTTTGAAATTCTTCGCGGGATGATGAAAATAATTTGTAAGTGCTCTACAAATCATTTTGAAATTATTTGTATACAAAATAATTATTTAATAGATGAAATTCCCAGCTCAATTTTACTTTTCAAATTTACTTTTTCGAATCGGGCTAAATTATTTGCATTTTTAATCTGCAAAGAAAAAAAAAACAGTTAACTATAGTTTTAGTTAACAGGAATTAAACATTCAGTTTTGCGGCTGATTTAAAAAAAGTCGCCTAGATGCAAATAAAGGAAAATATTTATTCATATTTACATTGGTACAAATATTGAGAATTCGTATTATATATCTTTGTATAAATGTATTGTTTATGAAATGTTAAAAATTAACATGTTATTGTAATTATCAATATTTTAATAATAAGCAAAGTAATATTTTGTGGTAGATTTGCAGATGAAATATAGAATAAGTACTGTACTATATGTTACTACTAGTACAAATAGTGGTTGAACTTTTATGTCTGGGAGCAAACGCATTTTTGATGATTAGATGAATTATATGCATTTCACAAATATCAATTATAAAAAAGTAGTTTTGAATATTTTTGCCTTACCTACTATTTATAACCAATTTTAGCAAGGAAATATACATTCTTATGTTTTGGGGGAGTTTACCCTTGCTGTAAAAAATAGATAAATTCCTTGACAATAAGTTTTTGGCCTTTTTTTTTTTTTTTTTTTTTTTTGCTATAGTAGAGGTTTACTATGAGACTATTGGCGGCAGTCTGAGATTCATTTCGAAAAAACGTTTTTCCTTGCCATCTTTGATTTGCTTTTTTTTTTTTACTTAATAAGTTTTTGATGATAGAGTGATTAGACAACATTATAGTACTTTTCAGAAAAGAGTGTGAATAAAGGCGTCTCTTTAGTCGATTCGAAAAAGATAGTGCCTGATAATTTTTAGATCTCTTTATGTCAAACAATAAAAGTATGCAAGGTTTTTAAGCAATTTAAAATTAAGTTTGTCTAGTTTTAAAATTTTTAAACATTAATTTTATCATTGTTTAAACTAATGAAAACTGATTGTGACTAAGCAATTGTTTTTAAACCTGAACTATGCAAAAACAATGATTTATTAAAAATCTTAAAACAGACAAATATAAAATACTAAATTACTTTTGGAAAAATACTGATTTGAGAATCTTAGTGGTTTAATTTATTTCGAAAAGAAAAAAAATCAGCCTGATATATCTCCTAAGTGTGATTAGATGATAAACTTATATTTTACAGGTTTTGAAAATTTCTGTATTTTGCATGTATGTAATTGCATAAATTGATAACCTCACAATTTGAAGATTATTGTCCATATATCAGTGGTTTTCCATAACATTAAAGTCTTGCCTCATAACTTAACCTTTTTTTTTTTGTTGTTGCTAATATTGATTATAGTAAACTTGTGATTGGAAAGATATGCTACAATTATAATTTTTCTACTGAGTTAAAATCAAGTTCATTGTTTTAATTTTTTATGACAGTTGAATTTCAAGTATATTATAATATGTTCCTAAAGACATGTTTCTGAACTGTTGACAAAAAGAACTTGACACTTCCCAATTCTAATATGTGACGTCACTTTTTTGCTGTATATAACAAAAAAGATGTTATCGTTTTTTTAATTACAGTAGCACCTAAATTATGTGACCCTAACCTTCCGTTATCCACAATTTCTTTTGACATATGTTGAAAGTGTCTCATGATTGGTAAATCATCATCAATTCAATTATGTTTAATCCAATTAATGCTATGACTACGATTCCGAAATTTGACTGCTAGAAAACAACACTTAAGCTGATGTTCCTGTAGTTACCTGCCTTCTGAAAATTTATCAGTGATCTATAAGTTACTAGTAGCAACCAATTGAACTATGTATCATTTCAAAGTAAAAACAATTTAATGCAATTAACACAATATTATGGCATTTGAGGGAAACATAAGTGATTTAGTTCAACTCTCTCTCTATTCGCCAGACGACAAAAAATTTATCAATGATTATTTTTTATGACCACTTCTTTTTTTTAATGCTTCTGACCAGGGTTGGGGTTTTTGACGTCCGAAACTGGTTTTGGACAGGACATGCGGATTTTACTGTCTTGAAGTGTCCAAAACCTTGAACTTTGGTAAAAGGTAAAAATTCTATAGGTGTAACCATTGTGCACATAATAATTACATGTATCAATAAATATTTGATATTTTTTATACAATTTACTTTAACTTATTAAAGGAAACTAATATAATGTAATAGGAAAAGGTTTATAACTTTTGAAGCTCCACAATTCATTGAACAACAAAAGTGAATACAATCCTTTAAATATAAATATGCTTTTAATATTGATAAATAATGTTTTTGCATAAGGATAAATAAGGCAATATTGAAAATAAATAATTTTTTTAAAACAATACTAAATTTGCTTAAAAATTAACCTTATATTTTTCACAATATTTTTTAAAAAATTTTTTATTTCTGCATCACAGGATGATAAAAAAGACATCTATTAAAAAAAAAATTGTTTTTAAATATAAATATATTAGTTTAAATTGGAAATACAAAATAACTGAAAAATGTATTAGCAGTTTTTTGAAGGGCATAACGTCAGTTTCAGTTACTAACACTGTTGATGTATCACCACTTTGCTAAAAGAATTGAACATGAATGAAATAAAAGTATTCTTGATTAGTACTATAGATAAATAAACCTGTGTATGACTAACCAAGCACTTAGTCCCAAATAGCTTAACCTGTATAGCAAGGTCAAACTTCAGTTATGTACTATTGAATGAGAAGACCAATTGAACTTGATTACTGATTAATCTTCCTTTGTTTAATGTTTAAATTGAAGAGTCAAAACAATATTAATGAAACATTACACTTTTAAAAACAAATATTCTTTAGTAGATTTAATTATCAATATGTTATTAGTTCTATGTTTATTTTACCTTTTAAATATTGTTCAGATAACATTGGGACATAATTTGAGTAAAAGGGTTTCGGACAGGACGGTTTAAACCAGGGTTGGCAAGATTTTGCCGCAGGTGGAAAAAACCATGGTAAATACCGNGAATTTCGTTCCGGTTTTTTGGTTTTCCGGTTTTCTGATTTCCGGATAACGGGTTCTGTACTGTACTATAGATAAATAAACCTGTGTATGACTAACCAAGCACTTAGTCCCTAATAGCTTAACCTGTATGGCAAGGTCAAACTTCAGTTATGTACTACTGAATGAGAAGACCAATTGAACTTGATTACTGATTAATCTTCCTTTGCTTAGTGTTTAAATTGAAGAGTCAAAACAATATTAATGAAACATTACAGTTTTAAAAACAAATATTCTTTAGTAGATTTAATTATCAATATGTTATTAGTTCTATGTTTATTTTACCTTTTAAATATTGTTCAGATAACATTGGGACATAATTTGAGTAAAAGGGTTTTGGACAGGACGGTTTAAACCAGGGTTTAATCCATTCTGTCCTAAATCTTACCAACCCTGCTGCTGACTACTTCACCCTCAACTGTATCATATTCTACAAAATTTTGAGCAGGCCTGTTAAGAATTGTGATTTTGTATTGAACATATGTCATACTCACACTTTGAATTTCAAGTCTGATAGATTTTTTTTTGTAATTTTGATATATAATTTCCTCTTTAAGAATCCAGTCTTACAATGATGACAAGCAGAAGTATTTTAAAGAAGATTAAAGTGGAAGATCTTCCAGCAGCTTTCAACGAAGTTCAAGTACTTTTAATAAATATTATGAATCTATTTTTTAGGAATCTATAAGATATATCTCTTTCTCCCTTTAATTAAAGTGATGAGTTATAAGCATTAAATATCATTGAATTTTATAATTGTACGTTAAAAATTTTGTTTAATGACATCCCAGTATGTAAGTTGACAATTCAAATCCCTAAATTTTATGTAAATTGAGAGAGGGATTTATACGCCAGTAATAAAGTCAAACTTTCGTTGATCGTGAAATATAGTAATATTATTAACAGTAAGATAAAAATGATTGCCTCCGTATCAATTTATCCCTGACAAAAACAATTTTAAATATGTAATATTCCATTAATTTTACATTTTCTCTCATCATATTTTCTTTATATATAATACATAATGTTTTTTTAGAAACAATTCTTTAAATTATTTTCAGAAAAAAAATTAAGAATAAGAGAAATTAAGATAAATTATTCACGAATATTTCAATAAATAATAGCATAATGAAAACTTTTAAAGCAAACAATAGAGCTACATATTTGAAGAGTCCATAACATCATCTATGTTAATATTCAATTACGTTAATGTTGTCATATAGATTTTACTCTGTAATAAACTCTACTTCATTCTTATCAGCTGAATCTCACAGAGAATTGTCTTCATCTCTGTCCAAATAATTTGAAATTCCACACTTTTTGAAAGATTTTACAGAAATATTTGAATCTGCATTTGATTTTGTGTCCAGTATTTTACAAGTTGTTATATTTAGTGTTCTTCAGCGTTTGACTAATACACCCGACATATCAGAAATGAACTATCTGCTACTCAAAAATATTGAGTCTACTTATCCACCGGAATATGCAATATATATATATTTTTTTAAGAATGTTTAAAATAAGTTACCCCTTCCCCTCTTTCATAAAACCAATACTGAATCAAATTATATTTCCATTTCAGATTTTTGTGACGAATGATGATGTCGTGTGTTCTGATGTTGGGGACATTCTCAGATCTCTTTACTTCTTTATTTCATCCAAAGAAAATTCAAAAGATGATGATAAACTGCAGAGTTCAACTTCCGATCTTATAAGCATAATTTCTTTATGCATAAATCTTTCTGAAAAAAGATTCTCATTTGAAGAGATATCTAACAATAAATTTTTCAATTCTTTGTATCACATTACAAAAATTCTTCTGAAATTGGTAAGTGTCCACCTTTTATTTTATGTGAGTTTTCTCTCAATGAAATAATTTAATATGGTTAAATATTTTGATCGATTATGAACATTAAAAATGCACAATCTCTTTTTGTAAGAGGCCTGGAGATACAAACAATTGACTTTTGGGTGCTGCTATGAAATTAATGTTTTTATCGGTTGATATTTCATTGTGCAATGAAAACATCAGTTTGTCTTAGAAATTAATGACACTAATACAATCTGTCTCTTGCACAACCTTGTGGCCGCAATTTTCTAGACTAAGTCTTAAAACAATAATTGGAATCATTATCATAGAATGAGGCAAACTAAGAATGAAATAATTCAAAATGAAATGACTAAAAGGTTAATGTTTCAGTTTAATATATTATTTGGTTTTATGCTTACTAAAATTTAAATTAAATTAAAAGGTGCCTCTATGGAATTTAATAGAACTCTCCTCGAAAAATGGATGTAGAAAAATTCACAAATTGTAAAAAAACAACATAGTTTTTACTACACATCCAAATTTTCATCATTAAGATGCATAAATGTGTGTGGGGGGGAATAAAACACAGATTTTTAAATATTTCAAATGGGGAAAGGTAGGTTACATTTTATTATAGTATTCATGTATATTTTGTTAAATTTAAGATATGTTTCAGATTTCATACAGTGCCAAAGGATTAAGGAAACAAACAATGAAATCCAAACAAAGAATACTCATGCATGGCTTTAAAAAATGAATTAGTTTCTTTTTACTTATGCTGATCACTTCTACTCTTATTGAAAGAAAAAATGTTACTTAAGGAAACCATGATTGTATTTAAAGTGTAAAATCCCTAAGAATTGCAGCTACGAGATATTCATGAGATAACTTCATTAACTTTAAAAATTATTTAGATGGAAAAAGTATATCTTAACAATTTTTGAAGCTAATGAGGTTATTCCTTTATCAAGTACATAAATTTAAATGTTATGAAAATATTTTTGAATCTAATAAAATAGTTCTGTATTATCATTTCTTTCATTATTTAAATAACTTAATATCACTTAGTATTTTATGTATTTTATTTAAAAGATATTGTATCACTATGTATTTTATTTGAAAAACAAATAATAATAATAAATTAAGTATTACTGCATGCACATTGCTTATACATTTTTCATAACTGTTTTTTAAGTGTTATTCTAAAAGTTAATGCAAGAAATTTTTTATACATAACCAAATACTGTATTTTTTTTTTTTTTTAAGCAGAGTAGGATTTTTTTTCTATGGCAATTTTCTGTTTTAATATAATTTAGATATGTAACATTTCTAACTAACTTCAGAAATTTTATACTTTTTGTCTGAGTAAAAAATAGTTATTAAAAACCTTTTTTTTTTAAGTTAAAAAATAAAATAATAGATTTCTAAATGTAATTTGGGGTTAAAAAAAATAATCATGTGTAAAATGTTAAATTTTACTTAAAATTTTAATTATGATAAATATAAGCTAATATATTAAAAACACATTTTAATATTCCTTAATTTTTTTACAGAAGTATTATTAGAAGTACTGAAAAGTGGAATTATTTGGCCAAATATTTGTTCCTGTGGCAGAATTTTTTCTGGCTTTCTGTAGCATACCTCTCTAATACTAATATCTTTCTGCAAGTTACTTAAAAATAACGAATATACATGTTTCTAATTTAAAGTAACAGAAGCGTTAACTTCAAAAATAAGTAAAAAATCAGATCAAATAAAAAAAAATTTAAAATTGATATGTAATTTTTTTTTTTAATTCTAATATTATGAGCTATATTCTCACATTTTGTAGGAAAATAACATGCTAATTATTTCTTTTTTCGCAAGTACAGTAATTCATCATAACATTAAAAAATCGTGAAATCTGTAGCGGTAACTACCGAAAAAAAAAGAAGATCGATGGCGAAATCATGCAAATTGGACTCTTCAAAAGGGTTTACTAAATGCGTGTTTTCATTTCGAGATTTAGTCGTTGTAATACATAATATCATATTAACAATATCACATTTTAAGAGCTATGTGTAAATCAGTAAACGAAAATTTCTACAGAAAAGAAAAGCTGAATTTTTTACTTCCCTATTGAAAAATCTTTCTACAAGAAATCGGTAACGTTCTGCCACAATGTCGCCACGATTCTGCCACGGTTATATTTATTGCAAGTTTATTTTTTCTATTTATTTCTTAAGAGTATTAAAATAAAATTTTCTATTATAAAAATTTGTTCAAATAAATAATAAATATCATTGAATGATCCATTAAAAAAATTTTGGAAAGACACATTTTATAAATGCCTTGAAAATAGAAATATCTGTCACATTTTGAATTTAAAAAAGTGTAAAATATATATTAAAGCATTAGTATTTCCTGAATTTTTCATTGTATAAAGTGGACTTCAATTTTAGAATTAAAAACGTTAAATGTTGAGAAATTTTTTAAAATAAATATCCTAAAAAGTGATATATTAGTAACTTACACACATTTTCAGAGAAGGTTCATCAGATGGTCCATAGTAGCACCACTACCACCACGAGTCTATACAAGCTATAGGGTGTCATTTGCTTATTTATATCTGTTATTGTTTAACTAAAAGTGATTATTAAAATATGTAATAAGCATATTCATGAATAATAAATTGTCTCCTATTATTTGAAACACTGAATAAAAATAGTCTAAAGTAGCAATCATAAAGCAAATTAAGAATTTCCATCAAAAGAACCTTATTTCATAATTTATTACTTAATCAAGTGTGTTGTTATCTAATTGCATAGTTTTTGTGAACCCGAAATTACTTCAAGTTCCCCCCCCCCATGCCTAATATTGTTTATTCTATTTGTAGCATTTCATTATTAAATAGAGTATTCTCTTATTGTATATTGGGTGATTCATTATTTTATGAATGATAATCTTTTTCATACCTTAATATTTTTAATGTGTTATAAAAACTGTTATTAATAATTTCTAAAAATTTTTTAAACAATTGACTCGTGTTATTAAAGAATTAGTAATAATTTTTTAAATAATAATAAAAATGAGTTATTACCATAGTTGTCAACTCTACTGGGTTTTGCCGGTTTCTCTTGGTCTACTTGCGCATTTTTGAAAATTCCATAAAATTGAGTAAATTTCCTAAAAAAAATCCTTATTCAAAACATTTTTGTTCATTTTATTGCTTGTTTGAATGTTTAAATAAGTATTATTAATACATAATGAATCCTAATCAGTTTAATTTTTTTTTGTTCTAAAATTTTTAACTTATTTTTATTCACAACTTCCTTTTTTAATTAATCTTTAATAAATAATCTTTTTTATAAATCTTTAATAATTTTAGTAAATCTTTGATGAATTAATCTTATTAATGGATAAAATGTCTATTACTATTTAAAATTATGAGTAATCATAAATGGAAATTATTGCTAACCATTTATAGTTTATTAGTGTAATAATGTTATTGTATTTTAGTGACCTAAAAATCCCTAAAATTCCATGTGTGTACAATATTTGTTATATTATGCAATAGTTATTATCAAATTTATATTATTTCTATTGGATTTTTTCTGATCCATGTTGGCAGCTATGTATTACAATTATCTTAATAAATTATATTGAAAAATTTTATTTACATTTCTATGTATTTAATAATGTATATCATTTCTGTGCCGTGATTAAACATGCTTCTGTTTTTCATATGTTTCTATGTTATGTAGAATATATTTCCATTTTTTATGTGTTCGTGTTATTTTTGTATCATATGTCAAATTTGTTTCGATTTCATAGTGTTGTGCATTCATACTTTCTTTATATTTCAGGCTATCTATGATGGTGCTTTGGCTTGCATTGAGTGTGTGCAGAAGTTGTTTCACAAATTTCCAGATTCATTGGAGGACTTAACAATAATAATAAGTAATTTAGTGGCAAGTCTTTGGAACGAATCTTTAGAAGCTGAGAAAAACCTGAGTTGTGCCACTGCATTCAAATTACGGTGCAAATGTTTTGAGCTGCAAGTCTTACATAATGTTACAAAAGTTCTTGAAACACTTCCACCAACTCTGAAAAGATATTTTCAAAACTGCAAGCCAGATACTTCTTCCGAGTTGATAGATTTTTTAAGTATTATAAGTAAGCAAATAAATCTCAAAAAGTCAGACTTCAATGATTGCTTAAATCTTCTGAAACTTCTCTCGTCAGTCGTAGAAGTTATAGTGAAGTTCTTTCAACTTGATGTCGCTACTTGTCACTTTTTCCTGAATTGGATTTCTGGTATTTTAGAAACAAAATTTCCCAAAAACTCCAAGCAAAGAGCTGTTCAAATTTGTTGTGAGGTTTTAAGGCACATACTGCGAGTTCTCGTTTTACGGGAAAACTCTGTGCTGCTGAAGACGAAACTCTCTCAGTTTGAGAAACTCGTTGCTGAACTTAAATGTGAAAACATGTTTGAAGTTGATTTATTTTCTAGCACTCTTTCTACCTTTCAAGTTATTTTTAATAGCAATTTTGAATTGGAATCCAATGAAGAAAACTTAAATCGTATGCCTAAAGCCCATATTGAATTTTGTACATCTATGTGTCGCTGTTATCTCAACATGCCGTCTTTGCCACATTATAAGGAATTGTATATGTTTTCTTTAACTGCAGATACAGCCATATCTAGTAATTTAGTGAAGTTGCTAAGACTGCTAATAAAGAAAGAGGAAGGTAAATGGTTTTCTACACTTTGCTGTTGTTCTTAATTTAGTTTTTTTCTGATATATTTTAAAATAAATTCTACATCCAGAGCATAAGTTCTTCATCCAGGTATTCCGGACTGTTTCATTTTTGCCACATAATGGATGTGCTTGTTAATCCCACAGAGTGTCCATCAATATTTGAAAATATCAGGGATTTTGAAATTTCTATAAATATCAGAGAATTTGTAAACATTGATTGTCTAAGTTTTATTCTGGAAATGTAATAATTATTAGGAGAATATACATTGCTTAATCGAAACTTTTATAGTGTTGATTAGATTATACAAATTAGCCGATTTCGTATATGTTATGTATTTTTTTTAAAAAATAAATTATGCACTGGAAATATCGGGAAATATTGTGGACTTAGAAAATTTTACAAACATTTGAGAATTTGAAAAAATTTTCTATTTTTTATTCTGGAAAAGTAATAATTATAAGTTGAGCATGCTTTGCATTGTTAAAACTTTTATAGTGTTGATTCGATGAAACAATTAATGAACAAATGAGCCAATTTGGTATTCAAACTGTATTTTTCTTTCTTTCCGAAATTAATTGAAAACCAAAAATGTAAAGTCTTTTGAAGATTCTATAAATGTCACAGAATGTTAAAAATTTATTGCCTAAGTTTTATTCTAGAAACGTAATAAGGATGAGATTGTTATACAGATGTAGGTAATAATTTCCTCAAAGTAGTAAGGCAACGAATGTAAAAGGGGTGCTTAAAAAGAGTAGGGCAGTTTATTTATAGAATGACCATACCCACGAAAATGATAGCTAAAAAAGCTTAGCTTTCTTAGCTGTCATTTTAGCTTTTTTAAAGTTACAATAAAACTAAAATTTGTATTGTCAATTTTGCTACCGAAGCATTTCCTATTTGCCTTACTAGTTTTATTTTATATGATAATTCTATTAACTTTGTTAGTAATATTTCATTACTCCTAGATAATTTAACATTTTGCAAGTGCTATATTTCTTTTTTTTTTTCTATTGGTAACAAGCTGAATATCCTGTTGAAAGTTTAACAATGTAAAATTAATTATGATTAGCATTAAATTGTATATCCCCCCCCCCATGAAACAGTATTTAAATTTAAAATGGTTAGTACATTTGCAGCTCACAAAATTTTTTTATTAATTCATACAGTGTACACTAGGTATAACAACCCTTGTAGTCCATGCAGAAAGGTAACATTTTATGAGAGCTCATTATATCATAAGTACACAAAAAAATTTGGTAGCTAGCAGAAAAATTAGTATTGAAAAATTTTTTTTACATGAATATGTATACCCAAAAAAACCTCTAAAATAAAATGGTTGAAAAATGTATTAAAAATATGCTTGTTTGGGCTTCCATATTTGATTAATAACATACTTCAAGATAACAGCAAAAACCACAAGTTTTAACTACAAAATAAACCACAGAAAAAGACTGAATACAATTTTCAAGCAGGATTGGGGTTTTGGACGTCCTAAACTGGTTTTGGACAAGACACATGGATTTTACTGTCTTAAACTGTCAAAAACCTTGAACATTTTTAAAAGGTAAAAATTTTATATGTGTAACCATTGTACAGTCCGCAAAAAAAATAAACGAATCACCCGGAATAACTTTCGTTCTAATGATTGGATTTTCACGAACAATGTGTCAATCTTAATGGTTTCTGGGGGTGACCGCAAATATGCTAATTAATTAGTTCTAACTATTAATTAAGTTACGAAATCAGACACAAAAACGTACTTTCTCTGAATAAACATATATTTTTTTTTACATATTTGGATTCCTGACCTTCAAAATATAGGGGGTAGCCGCAATCTGGGAAATGTGGTCCCCATAGTTTGGTCAGGAGAGCGATCCAAAGTTCGTACCCCTTAATGTT